AGCAGCAGCAACAGCAGCAGCAGCAGCAGGAATAGTAGGTGCTACTGGGGTCTCAGTAGTATTGAAAGGAACAGCAGCTGGGCTGGAGCGGCCATTTGTCATCCGTTGCTACTGCTCTGCTGCTGCTCTGCTGCTGCTGCTGCTGCTGTTGCTGCTGCAGGATGCGAGTTTGGGCGACTTAGCTGCTGCAGTAGCAGCAGAAGTGGGGCTTGCTGTTTGCTGCAGTCCTTTTATTGTCTTCAGTGTTGACGGAGATAGACACCCGCAAGACACGCGTCTTGGTAAACCCTAAACCCTAAACCCTAAACCCTAAACCCTAGCGACGAAGGGTGCATGGCCCTAGCGGCCTGCTGCGCTGCCGCTGCAGCGCGGCGTCCTGAATTTCCGAATTTGCTGCTGCTACTGCCGCTGCTGCCTCTGCTGCTGCTTTTGCTGCTGCTGCTTCTGCTGCTGCTTTTGCTGCTGCTGCTGCTGCTTCTGCTGCTGATGCTGCGGGGACCTCAGACAGCGCAAGCCTGGACTTGGAGGAAGGCATGCAAATTGATTTGCTGCTGCCGACGCCCCAGGGGTCTCTCCCCCACCAGCACGTAAACCCGAGGGTTTAGGGTTTAGGGTTTAGGGTTTAGGGTTTCGGGTTTGTTGTCGAAAGGCTGTTGCCAGTTCGAAAGAAGCGCGAGTGCCTGCGGCTGTCGTCTTTCTTGAAGACACGCCGCTGCTGCTGCTGCTGCTGCTGAAGACACGCTCCTGCTGCTGCTGCTGCTAAAGATACGCTGCTGCTGTTGCTGCTGCTGCTGCTGCTGCTGCTGCAGGGGTCCCAAAGTGCTTGTGAGGACTCAAAGGAGGCCCCACAGGATGCAGTTCCTTTGGCGGACGGCTCCTTACTTATTCTTGACTGACTAGCTAGCTAGCTAGCTGGCTAGCTAGCTAGCTAGCTAGCCATCTAGCTAGGTCTAGCTAGCTAGTTAAATATATAGATAGACAGATCGATAGCCAGTTAGCTGGCTAGCTAGCTAGCTAGCTAGCTGGCTAGCTAGCCAGCTGCCTGGCTAGCTGCATAGCTAGCTAGGAAGGGCGAGCATCAGCTGCCCAGCTAGCTGCCTAGCTAGCTGCCTGGCTAGCTGCCAAGCTGGCTGTTCAGCCAGCGACCTAGCTAGCTGCCTAGCTAGCTGCCTAGCTAGCTGCCCAGCTAGCTAGCTAGCTGCCTAGCTAGCTCACCATTGGCGGAAAGCTGGCTAATCCTCCAGCTAGCTAGCTAGCTAGCCAGGTATTTAGCTAGCCAGGTATTTAGCTAGTCAGCTAGCTAAATACCTGGCTAGTCCTAGCTAGCAAGCTAGCTAGCTAGCTAGCTGACTAGCTGGCTAGCTGGCTAGCTAGCTGGCTAGCTAGCTAGCTGGCTAGCTAGCTAGCCGTGGCAAGTTTGCATTTAGGGATGTGGGGCTGTAGCGGCTGGCGATTTGAGGTGTACGTACACTGCAGCTAGCTGTGGAGGCTCTTGTGCAGCATTTAAAATCTTTCATTTAATTAAAAGATTGTTGAAGTGTTTTATCATTTAAGCAATTAACATTTTTTGAATTCCAAGATGAAGTGAGAATCGGCCAAAAGCAGCAGCAGCAACAGCGGCAGCAGCAGAATTACCAGCAGCAGCAGCAGCAGACGCATTAACAGCAAGAACAGCAACATTAGCTGCAAGAGCAGCAGCAGAATTAAGAGCAGCAGCACCAGCAGCATCAACAGCTGCAGCAGCAATAGCATTAACAGCAGCAGCAGCAGCAACAGCAGCAACAACAGCAGCAGCAGCAGCAGGATAGGCAGATTGAATAAAATGAGACCTTGGAAGCACTTTGGCATTTAATAAAAGATGCCACTGAGCTGCTAAAGGAAAAGCCCAAGTATAATAAATAATGAAGGAAAAAAATAAAAAGATTTAAATTCGAAAAGTCTTTAAATGCAGAAAACAACAAATGCAAATGTTGCCGCCGCGAGCTGTACGTACACTCCACGCGCATGCAAGTGCCGGCTGCCTCAATACGCGACTTTTGCAAATAAATGTAAAACAAACAAATAAATGAATAAATTTAATTAATTAATTGATTAATTAAAAATAATAAAGAAATAAAGTGCTTAGGAGGCCATGAAGACCTCCTAAGCACGAAAATAAATTCGTTCAAGTTGAGCGAAGCAAATGAGGTGTACGTACACCTGAAATCTTTCCCAGATGCGGAGCTGTCGATACACCTAAAGTTGACAAAGGGCTCCAGCCTCTTTTTCAGACCCTTTAAAAGTATTTAAAATAAATTTATATGAAATAAAAGTGGGAAATGTCTGTATTTAAAATAAATTGGGATGAAATAAAAAATGAAAAATGTTCTTGCAGAAGTGTTTGAAGAGGATTTTTTAAATTGGCATTTTGGTGCTGCTTTCAGGTGTCTGTACACCCTACGACGCACACCCATTTGCTTTAATTCTTTTCCCCCAGACTTCTGCAAAATGATGTGCCCAGCTATCTAGCTAGCTAGCTATCTATCTAGCTAGCTAGCTAGCCAACTAGCTAGTTAGCTGACTAAATGGATAGCCAGCTAACTAGCTAGCTAGCGCAGTTGGCTGGCTTGCTGCGGCTAGCTAGCTAGGCAGCTAGCTAGCTAGCCAGCTAGCTAGCTAGCCAGCTAGCTAGCTAGCCAGCTAGCTAGCTAGCCGTCGACAGCCAGGTAGCCACGCCTACCGGCGGGCAGCTGTCTAGCTGCGGCTAGCTAGCTACTCGCAGGCAGCTAGCCACAGCTAGCTGAAGCTAGCTAGCTAGCTAGCTAGCTGCAGCTAGCCATGTAGCGCTAGCGGAGGCGAGCAGCTAGCTGTGACTGCCAGCGGCTAGCTGGGCCAAGCTTTATTGGTGGTTTCGTGAGTAAAGGGTCTATGGTTTAGGGTTTAGGGTTTGGGGTTTGGGGTTTAGGGTTTAGGGTTTAGGGTTTAGGGTTTAGCAGCCACACGGGGCCTCCAGCCAATACGGCTCGAATTTGGCCGGAATCAGCATATGTTGTCTTATATTCATTAGTGTAAATGTTTACTTCTAGGCTTTAGGGTTTAGAGTTTAGGGTTTAGGGTTTAGGGTTTAGGGTTTAGGGGTTTCGGGTGTACGTACACCCGGGGGCCCTCGGTGTCGTCAGCCCCAGGCGGTCCTGTCTTTGTGTCTGCATGCAAAATAAAATAAATAAATAAAAAGATAAAACTCTTTTAAAACAATAAAATTCATATTTCTGTTTTCATTTGCTTCTTTTATTCCGCGTCTATAACCCCGGAGCGCCAAACCGTAAACCCTAAACCCTAAACCCTCATCTGCATGCGTGCTCTCTTTGCTTCAATTAAAACGGCCCAATCGAAGTTATTGCTTTGGGGGCCCCCTTGTCATTGGGGGCCCCCTAAGCCGCTGCATCCCCTTGTAAACCCTGAACCCTAAACCCTAAACCCTAAACCCTAGCTCGTGTCTGGGGCTTCGCCCCCCGCCCTGAGGCCCCCCGTAAGGGTTTAGGGTTTAGGGTTTAGGGTTTAGGGTTTATGAGCCTTCTGCGCCAGCGCCGGGCTAGAGGCCTGGGGGGTCCCCAGGGGGCCCCCTGGGGGCCCCCCGAGGGGCCCCATGGGGCCCCCAAAGGGTTTCAGGGTTCAGCAGCTGACGAGGGTTTAGGGGGCCCCCATGAGGGTTTGAAGAAAAGAAAACCCTCGAGGCTTTTCGTGCTTTCTTGCTACACTGCAACATTATCTTTGCTGTTTATGGCCTGCGCCATAGGAGGTCTGTTCGCGAGGGTTTAGGGCTTAGGGTTTAGGGTTTAGGGTTTGACGGGGAGAATGGGGTTGGGGCGTTGCCTACAGCTGCGAGGGTAGGGTTTAGGGTTTAGGGTTTAGGGTTTGCTGCGTTGGACCTCGCTAGAGGGTTTGCCTCGGGTGTTCCTGCCCTGATCCCTTGCAGCTTTGTTCAACCAAGGGTTTAGGGTTTAGGGTTTAGGGTTTAGGGTTTAGAGTTTAGGGTTTGCTGTTCTGAGTTGCTGCAGGTTGTTTTTTGGGAATTTATATTTCGACCCCCCAGCTGCGGCCAGTTGAGGCCGACCCAGCCGACACAAGTAAACCCTAAACCCTAAACCCTAAACCCTAAACCCTAGCGGGAGTCAGCGTGTTTGTGTAGCTCATTTCTTTTGGCATTAGGGTTTAGGGTTTGTGTTAGGGTTTAGGGTTCGGGTTCAGGGTTAGAATCTAGGGTTTGGGGTTTATGATTTAGGGTTTAGGGTCTAGGGTTTATGGTCTAGGGTTTGTGGTTTATCGTTGGGGCTCAGCGTGAGGGTCCAGGGCCTAGGGTTTAGGGCTGACGGTCAAGGGTGTAGGGTTTAGGGTTTAGGGTTTAGGGTTTGGGGCTCCATGTCCAGGGTTTAGGGTTTATGGTTTAGAATTTTGGCCTTGTGGTTTGTGGTTTGTGGTTTATCGATTGTGGTTTGTTACTCGTGCTCTGCGGTCTAGGGCTGAGGGTTTAGGGTTTAGGGTTTAGGGTTTAGGGTTTGGGCGTGCAGGTTCGACTGGGGAGTTGACTGTGGGGGCTGACGGCAGCACTTTGCTGCTGTTTGGAACTTTAGTTTTTACTTTTAGGGTTTTGAACTTTTCATCTTTTTCTCTTTCTTTCAAAGTCGAGGGTTTTGACATTTACTATTACCCCATTGGGGCTTCTCGCCAGTGCCTCCTTTACCACGGAGGTGCAAACCCTAAACCCTAAACCCTAAACCCTCGGGGGACTCGCTTGGCCTGAGCTGGCCTTCACGCCAAACCCTAGCGAGCCCTACAGCCTGCAAAACCCTAAACCCTAGCAAACCCTAAACCCTAGTAAACCCTAAACCCTAGGAAGCGTAGTGGAGTCATAATAAAACACTCATAAACCCTAGTAAGCCCTAGAAAACCCTAAAGCCTAAACCCTAGCTGGGGCCCTAGTAAACCCTAGTAAACCCTTATAAACCCTCGTAAACCCTAGCAAACCCTAGCGAAAGGTGGAAACCCTAATAAACCCTCACAAACCCTCGAAGCCTCTAGCAAACCTTGTCAAGTTCTGTCGCTCCCTCCTAAACCCTCGAAACCTCAGCAAACCCTAATAAACCCTCATAAACCCTAATCAACCCTCATAAGCCCTAGTAAACCCTAGGGAGCTCCACTAAACCCTAATGACCCCTAAACCCTAGCACAGGCGCGAGGGGGCAGCCCGAGACGCCTGCAACTGCAGCAGCGGCAGGGTTTTTCCAGGGTTCAGGGTTTAGGGTTTAGGGTTTAGGGTTTGGCGCAGGCACTCTTCTTGACAGCAGCAACCCGGCTCTGAGCCGCCGCGAGAAGTTCGGGATGCCCACAAACCACCCCTGGGTTTATTTTTCCGAGCCTGACAATGAGGTTAGGGTTTAGGGTTTAGGGTTTAGGGTTTAGGGTTTGGGGTTTAGGGTTTGGGTTTGTGAAGGTTTTCTCCGGCGTTAAACCGCGCCCGCGTAGCTTCAAAGTCTTGTGTGGCTAGGCATGTGCAAAGGCTGCGTTGCCTAGGGTTTAGGGTTTAGGGTTTAGGGTTTAGGGTTTGCGGCTGCAGGTGATGGTGCGTCCGGCGGAGTCTCAGGAAGGGTCTGTGGGGGTTTTGTCGCTGCCTGCTCGTTTGGGTCTGCGAATAGACCCTAATGCTGCTACTGCTGCTGCTGCTGGCGCTGCTGCTGCTGCTGCTGCTGCAGCGCAGCACCAGCAACTGCTGCAGCAGCTCAAGGCGCTCGCGGACGACTGCGCAGCCTACGGGGTTTTGCTGCTGGGGGTTGAAATCACTGACGCCAAAACCCTTTCTTTTATTGCCAAGGTCCAAAACCCCGGACCTCTTCAAATAATTCAAGCAATTAAATGCAAAGTGACTTCCGAAGCTAAAACAGCGCTTGCTGCAGTCACTCGTTCCTACACTTCCGAGATTCTCCAGGGGCTCAAAAACCAGCCCGAGCTATTCCAAACCCCCTAAACCCTTTTTTTAGGGTTTATGAACCCTAAACCCTTTTTTAGGGTTCACGAACCCTAAACCCTTTTTTAGGGTTTACAAACGCCAAGCTTTTTCTCAGGGTTGAGAAATAAAATAAATAAACGCAAATCAAGTAATTAAAATTAAAGATGAAATCAAAATTGAAATGAAAAGCAAAATTAAACAAATTAAAAATAAATATAAAAAGAAAATAAAAAATCAAAAAGCTGATTTTGGGCTTCGGGCTAATTCGAACGGAGCTTTTGCTGCTGCAAAATA